CGTTTGAGATATCTTTATTTCACTTATATTTTTGGATTTTAGAAAACAACTTTTTTCAGATTAAAAGAATGTTAATTTCTTCTTTCCATATTATTTGTACAAAAAAAAATTACATCTTAAAATATGTCGATGCATTTTATTATTTCAATTCATGTTTATAAGCAGTATATAGTTACGTCGCTCTTTAAATACATCAATCATTCATTTCTATCTATTTATAAAATTTTCTCAAAAATGAAGCTAGGAAAGAGACTTGGACAAGCTTTTTACGCAAGATTCACTAGCATATCTTCCATTCATCTAGTATATTGCTTCAAATTCGAAGACTTTCCAAGAGAAAAACATGCACACACAGAGTATACGATATTCCTTTTCTGTTGTAAAAATGGAAAGAATTGTGCTATTTGATTTTCTAAATGAAAGCTTTATTTTTCCTTCACAGCAGTAATATGGAAAGAATGAGCAGATGAAACACATTTGCCTTTTATCCACTAGGCTTGTAAAATTTCTCCACCATTTTCCTGTACTCTGCCGAAATAAAATTATGAAAAATTCAGATAAAACTCAATCATGGCTGCAAATTTCCAGGGGAAAAATTTGTCTAATTCATTGGTTAAAAACCATACCTTCTTGATTTCCCCATAGTGATGCTGCTTGTGTGTTGAGAGGTGAACTCGTGTTCGGCTCTACATTACAGCAGCACGTGAAAACTAAGTCGTGAAAACTAAGTCGAATAGTTACAGCAGCGTGATCAAGGGCAAAAAACTAGATGAATCGCACAAAATTACCTCCAAGCAAGCTCTGAATCGATAGCAGTATTGTTCTTACATCGTAGGCAGATGACCATTTATCCTGCGAAAAATGAAAAAAATAAATGTCAGATGCTCATTTCTCATATCGATAATTTTCCAATGAGATGAGTTGGAATGAGAAAATATGAATGGACTCCAATGCATATTGTAATCTCAGAAAGTTTTATGAATCGACATTTTATCCATTGCACGATAAGGTCTAATATTGCAAGCCAAACATACAATCACGGCCCTTTCAAAAAGTTTTCTAAACATAAGAGCATTTTTGATTCTTTGAATAAGTTACGCAATGTAGCTAGAAAATTGAGAAGATTATTATTTGATAATAACCTGTAATATGTCCAAGCATATGTTTCCGTGCATATCGAAGTTGGGATGAAAGCAGCTCGTCTCGAATTTGACCTTTGGAGGCTTGAAAGGGTAATCGGGAGGAAATGAAAGTGATAACTTGTATTCCGTCCCTTCGAATACTGTGTCTTTGCTGCCAATAATTGTTCCTTTCCAGTGGAATATATTGTCTTCCTCAGGGAAAGCTGATATTCCAGTATCTCCACTCATCTAAGATTCAAGAATTCAACAGTGAATCGGTATCAGTTAACTGAAAGTGCCCTAAAAGACGGGATTAGGGTGAATTAATCGAGTCGAGAATACTAAATATGCCTTTAAAGTAACGTGGTTCTTACCATTAGGGCCATCAGTTCAGATTGCAACCTGTTTATTGAATAAAAGGAAAAGATAAAAAGTCAGGATCAAAAATGGTTTTAGCGTATGAAATTCACCAATCAGGTTATATTAAGGAAAGAAAATTTGCTGAGAAAATAATCTCTCACTAATCAGAAAATTAAAGATTTCTTTAATTACATATATCAGTGAAAAACACAGATTAAGAAAATCACTTCAAACCCTAGAATTTAATTTATAATAAAGATAATTAATAGGTTCCATGAAGACAGTCCCAGTTCGAAATTGAACAAGCAGATCATATCATTATAAACCATGTAATTAAAT